AAAAATTAAGTCATGCAGACAGATTGTCTAGACTAATACCAAGATTTTATGAACCACTTGAAGACACAGTAATTGCAGCAATAAAGACTGAAAATGAAATTAATAATGTATTATACAATAACATAAGAGAATTGCCCATAACATTGGAGGAAATAAGAATTAAGTCAGAAAAAGACAACTTTATAATGAAAATGAAGAAGCAATTAAGATTTAAAGGAAAAAAATATCACTAGAAATAATGCATTTTCATTATGTAATAATGTACTTATGTACGCAGAAAGAATTGTGATACCAGCATTGTTGCAAAAAATGGATGCTAAAGGAATTTCACTTTGGACATCCAGGAATTTCTAAAACCCACACCACCAGAAATTAGTGAACCAAGGAGGTACAGTAAAAGAAAAAGAACAGTAATGAAACATTTGAATATTGAACCAAAGCTGAAGAAAAACAGACTCAAGAGGAAGTCATCTCAAAGGGGTGGTGTTATATAGGAATAAAGTGTCGCTACCAACACTTGAGTTTGAACATAGATCACCAGTGAGCAAACACAGGCGATCCCATTGTTGAATTAAGTAGACCATGTGACCATAGAGGAAATGCATATATGTAGGAAGTAACTGACGACTAACAATCATTATTTCTATTCTATCCTCTATACTATATAGATCACTGTTCATTATTCTATTCACTATGCTACTTCTCTTTTCAGATCACTATACGGATTACTATTCAAACGAGTATTATCAAGCAAGTACTATTAGTGCGAGATTATTCGAAGGCGTCTGACACCAGTATTGTTCAACGGTGTACTATAGTTGTATCAGCAATTACAAAGTCTCTACTACAACGAGAATTATGAAAGTGACATTTTGGCATTACAAAAGTGGCAACATGTTTGTTGACATCATAAAAAGTATAAAATCTTTTAAAATTTTGTATTCATTTGTACTGGTTAGGTTACATTGTTTTATGCAAAAACTATATTTACTAATCATAAATGGGAAAGCTTACTACAATTCAGTGACACAAAATATTTTAAAAAGTATTTTTTTTTTTTTGAGTATGAGAATGCCAATTTTTGTAAATACGGAGATCCATACACAACATTATCACTAAATAAAAGTGTTAACTATAGTAAATTTAAAGCCAAAATAACTAAAATTCAATAAAACATTAGATTACAGAGAATGCTTTGCTAAAACTGGGTAGTTAAAAATTATATAAAAATGGCACTTACATTATATTCCTCAAGTAATTTTTACAGATATATCAAAATAAACAAATATATCTGAAAATTGGGTTTGCCTCCAGGTTTGTCTGATATTGCATTATACTGCGACAAAGCAAAACTAAATTTATGATTTAAATCGATTGTAAAGAATTGAATCCGGAAAAATTAGACTTCAAATGATGTTGATGACTATATATATAAAAGCAATAAAAGCATTAAAGCCTACATTAAAAACAGGGAGAAAGTGAAAGGTCAGAGAGGCGATAATAGTGTAAAGACAATCTAGCTTTCAATGAAGTCATCGGATACACTCAAGCATAAATAAGGGTTAGGACTAAATGAAAGGCAATGGTGGTCCAAACTTCAACATAAAGATTGCCATGACATGGTCATCAAAATGTAATGAATGAAGAAGATAAAAAAATACTTGTAAAAGGAGTGCAAACAATCCTAACAAGGTCAATGGACAAACTGGGAGGCTCTGCAGAAATCTATTACTTGGAAGGACATTTGGCAGATGGCTCCACTCAGGTTGAGTTATTCAATCTCTCAAACTATGACCTGCTACCATTTAAGAACAATCTTGTTAAATGGAAGAAAGAGAGTGATCCTACTTGTCCCTGTGTAAGGAAAATCCACAAACATTAGAACATGTTCTTAGTTCTGTAAAACAGCCCTTGTCAATGGAAGATATATGGAGGCACAATAGTGTTTTTGGATGAATGGTCAAAATTATAAAGAAATATATGAAGTCTGAGTTTCTAATTCAATCCAGAAATTTATTGCAGAAGGAAAAATATATATTCTAAGCAAACAAGCAAATATCAAGCTATACCCAGAAAAAATTTCTCCCTTAGTTCTGGTGGCATTCTGGAGGTATCTTCAGATTTCTTCCTTGGTTGGCGTAATGATTACCCAAAGCAATATCAATTTCCAAGGTCTGCGATTTGATATTGTTCTTCTGTCAAGGTGAACTATAAAATCATCATGGTTGAATTAACATATATATATGAATGCTGGATGGAACAAAGCCACGATTATAAAACTAATAAATATGAAAATCTAAAGTCAGATCATAATAAAGGAGGGGTATAATGCAATTGTTAGAGCAGTGGAAATTGGAGCAAGGGTTTCATTTTATTTTATCTGTACCAATTTCTGGGCTAAATTGGAATCAAAAAAAGTACAGGGCCAAAAGTATAAAAATGCCTAATAGAAGTAACTGAAAATAGTTCTATGTTATAGAAAAAAAATATTCCGTGGAGTGTTTATACAAACATGAAATCATAACATGACTGATCATGAATGCGTAATGAGGTTCACGCATTCTCAAACCTTTCCAAACCGAATTTTTGTAAATTTAATTTAGCCTTAGACATTTGAACTAGTTTATCTACATCACACTTGTATATTATTATAATGGGACCTCAAATCAGTGATTTGGCTAGTGTACAACTATGAAACCGTTGAGAGGAAGGCCCAAATGGTGCACATTCTCTCCTAGATAACCCCAGTTTAAGTATAAATTCTGAGGAACACATCAAAAAAGAAATTCAGTGAAAATGCTTAAAAGAAGCTCGTTTTTTTTCATTGGCATGAGGAGCATTACAAACAGCTCGCTTCAGGTGAGTTTTAATTATTTTCAGTAATTTCATTTTTCTATAAAAAAAAAAAAATTAGATAAACTTTTAGCCTGTTCATTCAAAATTTTGTAATACCTTGAAATAAACATCTATTTACGTGTTAAAAATTTTCATTTCTGCAATATTTTAAACTAAAAGTAAGTTATATTTTTTCAATTGACTTTAGTAAATTAATTTCTCAAACAAATTTGTTAAATTAATTTCCCATAAACGCCCGTTGCATTTTGGTATGAATTTTCCTTCCATTAAATCGAGAACAAAAAAAATTTTATTGGCAGAACCTATTTTTTTCATTAAATAGAAAAAAAATAGGATGTCCTAATTTGCATATCAATATCCTCTTTTTAGCAGACTCCTAAACGGACTTGTTTTTTTCTGTCACAGAATACACAAAACTTCGTCACACTTGACACGAGGTATAGTAACCTTTTTCCTTTAAGATTTTTTAGCCCTAATTTTTGGTAATCCTTTTTGCACGAAACCTTTTTCAAAAAACAAAAAGTTTCAGTGCAAATTATCTCTTTTCAAACAATTTTACTTTAAAATCAGCTAATATTCTTTAAATAAAGTTTCAGAAATGTATAAATTAAATTGAAAGATTTTTAATAAAGAAATTATGTTGTGCTGACATATGGATAAATGTGGCATAAAAAAAGTTTTTTAACTATTTCAAAAAAAAAATCCAACAATTTAAATTAATTTTTCTCCATACAATAATTCTGATTCTTATTGGAAATAAGAAATTAATCCATTAATCTATTTTCTTAAATTTAAAATAAAAGCCTCAAGAAAGATTTTTCATTTTTAAAAATTCATTTTAAACCTTAGGTAACACATTTCTTTGGAGGTACATACTAAACTGATATGTTTCACTTGTAACTTTATTTTTTTCCACATTTTCTTTAAATTTAAAAGAAAAATCAATCAGAAATAAATTTGAATACCATTTTTTTAAGCCAAGAGTAATGCCAAATGACCTTACTAATTATTGAAAAACAAAAAATAGTGTTTAAACAGAAAATAATTAAAAAAAAAAATATTTAGAATAACCATTTGAAAATTAATCTAGGATGCCAAGTGGATGGGATCAAAGGCTGTAATTTAACACTAATATAAAAAAAATTAAATTGGATTGATAGCCAGGCACCTACTTAACAAAAATACCACATCATGGGACCTTGGACAGAGGTGAGGGGAAGGAAAAAAGTGTGTGTGTTAAAGACTGACATTGGAAAATTTTAAAGACTTAATTTCCACTCAAAAGTTGACCTAAGAGTTAACACAGGCAAGGCAAGTGGAGATTGAATAGTTGCAGAATGTCTAGTCAAGTAGCTGTGTGTGTGTGTATGTGTGTGCATTTTTTTATTTTTCTGGGGAGGCAAATAAAACCCTATCTTTATTCTCAATGATCATTTGCAGGTAATTAAAAAATGAAAAACTTGGAGTGAAACCTAAAGATTTTTCAATTTTTTTTGTTTTTATAAAAGCAAACAAAAAAAATTGAGTCAAAAGCAAAAAATTTTTTAAAAAAAAATACAACAGGAATGAAAACGTAAGTAAGCAAGTTTCAAGGAAGACAATGATGTTTAAGTTCTGGAAAATATTGTACTTTAACCCACAATGCAGCATATTTCTATATGCTGCATTGAACTTTTAAAGTCAGCAATAGTAATAATTTCAAATCCTATTTTATAAAGTTTTAAATGCAACTATATTAGGAGAAAAAGAATCAAGAAACTTAAACTAAAGCAATTTGACTGCTTACCTCCCCGACTGAAAGCTGTTGGGCCTCCTCCTCCCATTTTCGCTTGAAAGAAATATCAAGATTGACATGTTGTTCCTGGAGAATTGCAGGTGATGTTTGAGATGGGACCTGTCCAGCCTTCTCCTCTCTCAGAGGAGAATCTTCAGGAGAGACTGATACTGCATTCTCATCATGAAAAAGCTGTAAAGTTTGTTGTAGATTCTACAAAAAAAATATTTAGTCTGTAAATTGAGATAGTACAAATCAACTAATGTAGAAGTTTCTTTTTATTTCTATTTAAGAGCCACAATTTACTATTTACTGTGTAGCTAAATGTTAATATCTACAAAAAAATGTTGTTTCAAATGTACACATGTTGTTGAATATACTTCAACAATGAAATTATGGGTTATTAAAATCTGCTCAGGAATTTATGAAATTGTTTCAAATATGAATTAGAAAAAATTAAATAAAAAACAAAAGATTAATTTTTCAACTTACGTTTCTTACTGTTGCAATCATTCAAATCTAAACATAGCCATCCTTTATCTTTCGAGAACACCAACATGTTGTTATCTTCATTTATATGTTGCCATCTTTATTTTTATATACTAATAATATTAGTAATTTTTTTTAATTTTTGAAAAATTGTCATTTTTTAAACTTCTGTTTTTTTTTATTCTATAATTGTTGCTTACTTAACACTTGAGAATAAAAGCCTAACAGATATGATAAAGGCAAATGAAATTAACATGAAAGAAAAACTTGAAGAAAAATAATAACTGATAACTTTTCACTAAAGAAATTAAAAAAAGAAAAACAATATTACCAAAAAAGAACTATAAATAATGACACCTAATTTAAATAAACATTCCTAAGCTAAAAATAAAACATTTTTAATGAGAACTCTGCAGACTGGTAAACCATATTCTGATATCCAACATTTCAATCTGATCAGTCAAACCAGTCACCATTTTGGGAGCATTAGTGATCTTTACAAATATTTTGTGCAGTCAAATGTATTATTTCCAAAATCAGACAGTTTTACAATAAAAAAAACAAACAAATAAAGTCATAACTGCAGACATCAGATCAAGAAATAGGTTGGGTGTGACAAAACTTTTGAATACAAATGAAACAGTTTTTCATGCAACATCTTGTCTAGCATTATCAGACAGCAGCCGACATATTTTGCACAAGTTTAATATTTTTTGCATCAGTTACTCATTACATTTTTGTATTGATAAGTCTTGTATCAAATGTCTTACACATCCCAGGAAAAATGCCTAAATTTTTATAATGCATCCATACTTCACCATAGTTTGTAAAATGCTTCCTCTTTTGATAGTAGTGAGGACCAGATTTAGATGAAGAGAGGCCTTAGGCTATTCCACTTGTGAGGCCCCTCAAAATCACACTCATGAGTAGAGGAAAACTGAGAGTATTAAATTAAACAATTTGAGTAAAGCCAAGGATGATGACAGGTGTTTAAAATTACTGAAGGGTTGTTTAGAGTCTACAATGTGTTATGACAGCATGTGTAAAAAAGGCCTATGACAGTGTCAAAAATACTAAACATCCTGGCTGGAGGGCCCCCTAGATTTTGAGGCCCTAGGCTTCAGCCTGCTAAACCTATAAGTAAATCTGGCACTGATAGTATCAAAGGACTTTTTTCAGATAAGTGGAGAACAGATCAACATTCTGTTTCTGACATTTCTCTTGAAACTCTCTAGCATTGAATAATCCTTGCTCCCGAGTTAACTGGTGGGAAATTGTCATAAGAATTTTACTGCATAGAACATCAAAAATTATCTCACAGTGAGTGGCACAGCATTGATGGATCCCTTACAAAGATAAATAATAGTGGTATTGGTAAAATTTTGTTTTTACAGTTATGAGCCAAAATAAACTACATTTTTTCAATTAAAGCCAAACCAACCTCTTTGTACAGATGGAATGGAAGGACAACTGAAGGACAACAAAATTTTAAAATGTTCAGCTCACATTTTAATGTTATAGCATCATCTATGAGTAGAGTTTTTCATCTAGACTAAAGAAGAGATAAGGCTGAAATAGTGAAAACAAACTTTAAAGTTAAGCAACAAATTGCTTATGTTATGTCTCTTTTTGAAAAGATCTGGATGTTATCAGCCAAGAATCTAATATGTGATAAAATTTCTGCTATACAATTCTGTCTATGTAATTCAAGGTGCCTTTCTGTAAAGTCATCAAAGTGGGCCTTGTAAATAGATATATAATTCAAATACTCTACTTTGACACATACCTAACTGACCTAACATAAATCTCAATATTCACATTACTGATAATACTGATTGATCCCAATAAAGAGACCAAGGTGACAATTAAAAAAATAAGATATATATATATATATATATATATATATATATATATATATATAGTATTAGGAGTAATGTAAGTTTAAATATTGTTAATATTTTTATCCTTACACTTCATTAAATTTAACATTTAACACTCTGCATTATTCACTACTATGCCTACTGCATTGTTTTTCAAGGCTCCTCTACTGCACTACTTAATTGTAGTCATGGTCATTTTTTGTTGCCATAGCAGGATATGACAACACAACTGCAAAATTCATACACACTATTATTCATTCATCTGAGTCACTTGCAGTAGCAGGATAAAACTTTTGCTTTGCAAACAAAATCACCTCCAAAATGTTAAAGGTTAAATTAACTGCAGAGAATACATTTCATCATATTTCAAGGAAAATCAATGATTGTGTTAAGAATATAAAATTGTATAAATTTTCAAAATTCTTACAAATAAAACATTTAGGAAATTGGATAAATTCTTTGATTAAATATTTGGCATTTTTGTAATTTACTTTTTTTTTCTTTTTTTATCATAACAATGTAACTAAATCAGTATATTTTTCAAATTCTGTCCTTTTTTAAATAGTCATTCTTAAGAGGAAAGAAGTACATTTAATTAATACATTAAAAATCATTTTTAATTTTCATGGCTGAGCATTTTTGCCAATATCATTTCATCAGAATGTCAGCTTTCCTTTGGATAACTCTAACAAATATATTTCAGTTTCATCTATAATAATAAAGCACAGTGTACATGTCCGTCTGTTTTTTGATCTCAGGATTTATGCATGCACCTCAAATAAATAGAATAAATATAAGTATTAATATTCATCAATTATTTACAGCATTATTATTTTTTTTACTAGCCTAAAGTCTGCTCGAGGACTTTTGCTTCAAATTAATTTTCATCTTCTATAATAATAAAGCGCAGTGTATGTGTGCTCATACAATTTTTAATCTCAATGAATCATAAACAACCTGAAGTAACAGGTAGTAACTCTACTATAGTTACACACAATTAAAAATTAAATAACTCATTTAAAGTTAAATTTAAATCTCGAACAAAGTGAAAGGTTTAAAAAACAATTCTTTATTAAAGGTTTAACTTTAATTTCACGTTTCGTCACAATTTCAATTGATATCATCTAATTAAATCATAATTAAAACTGAAGTGGGACACAGTACACTGCTCATATGTTGTTTTTTTTTCTTTTTCTAGCACATGTACTGTGCCATATTCTAAATATTACATAGTTCAGGTTTCTTAATGTCATTTAAGACTTTATATGAAGGGATAAAAAAGAATGGTGATTTTAAAAGAAAAGAAAAATTATGTTCAAAATAAATGTAAACAATCTATGGAGATCAGTTGTGTACAAGAAAAGATTATGCCAAATTAAGGTGTCAAATAAAGATAAAATAATTTTATTACTTCTAAATCCTTATAACTTTTACATAACTAGAAAATAAAAGGTTAAAACCAAAGACCCAAAAGCCCCCTGCAGGAGCTAATGTCAAATCCACCTGAAGTAATAAAATGTATAAGGTGACTTCATGTATAGTGTGACCCCCTGAATTATTTGGCATGAATTTTAACCATTCCAGAAGAATTTACCAGTGTATACCAACCAGTCACCAAAAATGCATGATTTTTTACTTATGCTTGATAGTCACAAATCAATTTATAACATTTATTACCCTTCTGCCATTTTTCTTTTCCGATTTCTTTTGTCGTAGAGTTCTACCACGTAATGGCACCTTGTTACTACTTGGTTTGCGCAGAGTTGATCTGTTTTCAGAAAGTTTTCTGAAGAACAAAAAAATATTTCAAATGCAACATTTATAAAATTACCAAAACATCTAAGAAACTAAGTAAACAAAATTAAAAGATTATTTTGTATCAACAATTTTTAATGAAGAGGCTTGGTAAAAAATATCTTTTTTGTCTTTATGATATATATGAAAAAGTCTTAACCGGTTAAATAAAATGTTTCTCAGGACTGTTAAATGGGCTATTCTAAAAAGTTTTAAATATGGTTGAAAAAAATAGAGAAAGAAATAAATATGCCTACGTTCAAAGTTTTAGGTTTCTAATATCTACTGTTTGGAAATTGAATTCCTTTTAAAAGAAATAAAGGACATGTATGTATCAATAAATATATTAAAAGGTTGTTAGCTGTAGAAATAACAGGTGTTAAAATTTTTAAAAATACACACAGCAAACAGCAGAAGAAGAGCACAGAAATTGCAAAGAAAAACTAAATACAGTCAGCCACAGAATTATTAAGAACTTCTTTTAGAGAAATTATCTGACCAAATCTTTTGTGGGGATAACATAATAGGCTATTACCTTAAATTTCTACAAATGACAAATGATAAACATTTTTTTTATCCATATCCTATGTTTGAGAATACAACATGTGTAAAATTGTCCTGACCTTTTGTCATCTCATCATTCAACTGAGAACATGTTATTCAGAGTCCTGAACCTTTGTCTTCTCATCAGTTAATTCAAAAAAGTTTATGCTGTGAATTAATATATCCTTTTGAAGAAAATATTGAGTATGTTCATGAATACAAAACTAAAAATTATGAAAATCTTTTAGAAGAATACAGATGATATAACAGAATAACAAATATATTTCCTATCAAAATAAAATGACAAGTCTAATTGTTAACTCAAGCTCACCACATTCAGGGGTGACTTAGAATGTCAACATTGCAAGAGGAAATATATAAAGAGGTTTACGAGGTTTCTCAAAAGCTGCATCTAACATTTATATAATGTGATAGAAAGCCAACAAAATTTGATAATATCACATTAAACATCCAGGGTTAATGTGAATGATCTTTAAGCATGGAAACCATGCCTGATCATCATCTAGCAAAAAAAACTTTGTTGGAGGTACAAGTGGAGTTATTGCAGTAGTTACATGGAATTATTAGTGTGTGTATAAATGTGTTCTCAAATAATTGTTGGGTTAAGAAAACAGAATTTACAATTGAAAAGTTAATAAAAAAAAGTCACCTTAATATTTAAAATAATTATTCTCTTGGTTAAATAGAATAAAAGTTATAAAACCAATAGGCCATAACATTCCAATCCCAGTTAGTACATAACTATTTGGCGATAATAAAAAATTCTCTTTTTATGTCTGTACAAAGGGCAGGCAACCAAACATATTTGTCAGTTTTTTTAAATACAGAATTAACAGACATAAAAGACTGTATGAACAAAATAACTATTAACCAAAATAAACACTGAAGTAAAAACAGTTTATAGTATTTTACATGTTTTTCTTTTCTTTTTCTCCTAACACAAATTTTTATGAAAAAGATTATTTTATTAAAATATTTATAAGAGAAATGCCTTCAGTGAGAAATCTACAAAGATATTTGCTTTTTAAAAATTACTGTATTTTTTATACCTTATATTTTATGAAGTTAGACTTTTGAAAAAATCTCATCTATTTTTTGAAGATTCAGGCAGAATTAATTTTATAGTCTTGAAATTGAAATATTTTTATTCTTAAAACTAACAGAATGTAGATAGATCATGTTATATTATAATAATCACTCAAAAATATCAACTGAGTTACAAGGTGGACAATTTTGAAGGTTGTTTTTAATGTTTTGGTTTTTAATCCTCACATACACAATTTCAACATTTAATAGAACAATTTTTCTAATGTTATGCGTAAAAGCCAAAATAAAAATCCAAACCTAATAGCAGATTCCAGTGCATCAACCCATGAAGAAACATCATCAGGATCAAGAGAATAAAGGACAAGTATTTCTTCTTTACAGGTTATCTGAAAATGGCAGTAAAAATGATTTAGGAAGATAAATGAAATTATTGCAATCAATATGAATAATGTAATCCAACATATGAGAAAATATGTGTTCTCCTAAATCTTTATAGAGATAAAAGATTATTTTTAATACTAATGTTAACCTAATACAAGTCCCAAGAGCCAATCAAGATAGAAGGTTACTGTGAACTTCATGGGGTTGTACAGGAAAGATAATGGCTAACTCTAGATGGAATAATAAAAAAAAATAGATCTTTGACTATCAAGCCAAATATAAGTCACATAATTCACATAAATATAGTCACATAAGTATCCTTTTGTGTTGATTATTTTATCAACCTTTAAATAAAACAAACTTACAAGCAGCATTCTCCTACAGAAATAAACTGTTATTTAAAAAAGACAAAAAAGGAAAGGGCTCAAATATTTCACTCATCAACTACTTGCAATTATATATTTTACCCAGCCTCTGATGGCATTCAGTGAGTGAAGAAATTAATATTAACAATCAAGTTTGTATTTTAATTACCTCTGGCAAACCAGCAAAACATTTTAACCTACTCTGCCGAATTGTACTTGAATATTTGTTCTCATAATTTATTAAATAATTACAGAAATAAAGGGAAGCAATCCTGTAACTAATATTGTATAACTTTGATGTTGATTATTTGCTCCCCTTGGATCAAGCAGGAATAACAAAATCAAGCGCAATTAGAATAGTCTATACAGCTATTCATCAACAAATTATCAACTTCTAAAAGCTCGAGACAGATAAGTGTAACAAGTATTGTGTTTAATGTTTACTGACCTGAAACATTCCTCCTCCTTCGAGTTTTTTGTTGTTTATAAACAAACGTTGCACAGAGCAATGGCGAAGTGGCAGAACACAGCTGCAAGTGTATGAATTGGCTGTATCCAGGAGCTTAGGTTTGCCATAGAGCAACATATCCGAGAAAAGGAAGAACATTCGATCATGGGATTTGCCTCCACCTTTGCGGGCAACCTAAAGGAACAAATTTAAAGCAACAAAATATGGATATTAAAATTATGAAAAAATACTCCAGATGTTTTACATAAGCAAATCATTAAGTCTGTAGTATAATAATGCAAAAAGCATTTATTTTACACAAATATTTTTAGCATAATCTCCTTCCTCATCAACGCACATAAGTCAATAATGAAGATTAATCACACAGATTCAACATTATTCAATGAAAATTTCAGATTAAAATTCAACTAATAACAATGTGTCAGGCTATGAACTTATTGATGCACTTTCATATTTTTGTTTCTCAGTTTCACTATTTGCAACTCTATTCCTGTGATTAATACATCATAATTATTTAATCTGTAAATGTTATTCGCACTAATATTAGTACACCAAGTTTCTCTTTGTCCAGTCATGACAAAAAAATGGTTGGTTAAGAGAGAAGCAAAATACTGTTACTTTCATAGTCAACATTTGACAAGACGCAATCAGTATGCTTTCCTAATTTTGAAAATAAAATCTAAGAATAATTTGGTAATTTTCATCAAATGTTTCATTGCTTATTGACTTTTAAATAATTTACATAATGTGAAAATACATATTGTAAATATGAAAAGATACATGACAAATTCAGAAAAATGCTGAAAAGTAATTACATAATTTTGTAACAATATACTCAATTTTCCTCAAAACTTCAATTTCCTACAATAAATAAAATTTACATTTTTACTTGTTCTCCACTCTAAAAACTGTAATAAGCAGAGTTAAATACAGGAGTTAAAATATTTTTAAAATAAAGCAATGGTGCATGGAAAGAGAAAATAATGCTGATTAGATAAACATTTCATATCTGTGTGTAAATTATTTCCATTACATTTGCAGTTTTGTTCATATCTAAAATAAGGAAAACTACAATAATGTGTAATGAAGTACAGACTGACCTTTTTAAGTGTTCCTTCTTTGATGAATTCCCGACCAGGTGAAAGAATTTTGGGTGCTGTTCCCAAAGACTTTTGAATGGATAACATTTTCTGGAAGTTCTCATGCTGCCTGATATGTTCATTAATGTGACAAGCAATGTGGCTCACTTGTTTAGTGGCATCTACAGTCAAGACAGTATTGATAACTTTTCCAAATTGTTTACTTTTTCTTTTTAAATCAAGAGTATAAAAGCCAGTGAAAAATTAAAACAATGAATATAAATAAAGTAGTATGATTTTCACAAATTTTATCAATTTGGTGATATCATTAAAGTAGAATTCTAAACTATTTCATATCATTACAATAAAAAAAAAAAACAAATATCCATTATATATTTAGAATAACTGTATCCATAAATCTTCCCTAAGAAATATAAAATCCTAAACTTCAGTATTATCTCTACAATATGCAAAAATAAAAAAATTGTTTTACTTATTTTTTTGTTAATAAATTTGAAAACACTTTGAAATATAATTAAGGATATAAGCATGCATTAATTAAGCAGCAACAGAGAAATCAAATTGCAGTTGGTTCTACATTCAATATATATATATATATATATATATGTAAAAAAATGACTTATAAATTCAGTGCAATGAAACCTATTTATTTTCTGAAATTATAATTTAAAATTTAGCAAAATCAGAATGAAAAATACAAATAGAAAATAGGAGTCAGGAATGCAAGATGTAATTAAAATAAAAGAAAGTGATTTTAACAAATATCAGCATGTGTATAGTTTCAAGTTGCACCAAGTAACAGTTCAGCTAGCAATGACAAACAAAACACTGCAGTCTTTTAGCCAACTCTTGAAGTAGAGAAATCTATTTCTGTCTATATCAACATAAAGGGATTCATTACTACATAAGGCCAATGTTTTTAATAAATAATATAAACTATGAACATTGTCAGATGGCCTCTCTTCCGATCTAACACGAGCTTCCCAGTGGGAAAAATACTGGCTGGTTAGATTCAATGCCTCTAAAACCAAATTTGTTACATTCCATCACTGCTGATCTGACCCAGAACTACCACCAGTTACGATGAACAGATATCCCCTCAAGGAGGCCCCATGCCTCAAGAGGATATTGGACTCACACCCAACCTCAAGTGGAACTGCTATATATGAGTCATTGCTAAAGATGCAGGTAAAATGATCAGCTCCCTTGACCACTCCAGTAAATACCTGACTCCTCATGCTACCATCTACCTTTATAAGAGCCAAATCAGGCTGAAAATGGAGTACTGTTGCCATATTTTGAGAGGAACTGCCCAGACCTCAATTTCCAGTCTTGACAGATTTCAAAAGCATCTCCAAGTCCTTGTTAGAGAAGAATTATTTTCCACACTCCAACCTCTTTCTCACAGGCAGAATGTAACAAATCACTCACTCCTCTACTATGGAAGTACTCAGGCGAACTGCATGGTTCCGCCAGGTCTGACCTTCACGACTAGAACCTAACAAGCCACTTACATAATAGTAAACCACCCATATTCTTTCTGCATTCCATTGGCAAGAAGATCTCTCAAACAGCTCTTTCTCACAAACTACTGCCCTATGGAACAGATTCCCAAGAGGATGTTTCCCCTGATCACTACAATCTTAACCTGTTCAAGTCTAGAGTCAACATTATCTTTCCTCCTATCCATATAAACTACTCCTTAACATAACCCTCTACCTCGAGTGGCCCCCAGGCCTTGTATAGGGTGAACCTTACTGTAAAAAGAATGAAAGAAATTGGGTTAATAAATTATTCTTACCTTGCAAACTATAATAATCATGATGATTTGTTAGTGTCTGGGATAACAAATCATCCAATAACAATTTGTACCTGTAATAAAGATTAAAAGAGAAATTAAGTTTCTTTTCTTAATTCAGTGTCATTATAAAAATTAGAGAACCAAGCAATAAATTTTGTCAACAATTTTTTCTCTTTTCTGTTCCTTAAAATTAAATCCAACCAAAACTATGTTCCGTGCAAATTCAGTGCAAAGAAACAACAAATGAACAGATCCTGGCAATATGTAATTCTGTCAGGATCTGTTCATTTGTGTGAAAGGAACATACTTTTGGTTGGATTTAATCTTAAGGAACAATTAAAAGAGATGTTTGACAGAGTCAGATTTGAAGACTTCTCACAATACTTGGAATTTTGGAAAAAGTACTGGGATCATGGTAGACATGTCCATGGAAACTTCTTCTATGATGGAAACTAGGTATCACAGTAATTTGATTTTTCATGGTTAAATTTCCCAAATACACTTTAATTTCATAAATGTCTCCAAAATGCTAAGTTCCCAAAATGATGTGTGCCGGAAAGGGATATATTTGTCCGAAGTAGCAAAGTGGTTGTTGACTGTAACTGAGTAGGACAATCTAGCAGGTAACCATAATGGACTGGTCCTTGTCATAGTGGTAGGCAATAGGCGTAGACCTGTAATTCCACATCAGTCTGTATTTATGGCTGACACCAGGCAATCATATTACTGTGAGGGGGAACCAAGGTGTATGCATATTCATTACATCACAAAACAAGCTATAATTGACTTCCTGCTGGAAATCTTAGCAGTAACATGGTGATATTATCTACAAAAAATCTTATAGCTGTTATTAACTATGATATTAAAAGTCAATTGCTATTTCAACAAATATTTCAAACAATCAATTCCATTGCTAGTACAAACAGTAATATGAAAAAATCTTCAACAGAGGAGATGCCATGGTTTATATATTTCACTATAAGCAAATTGAGGCAAGCCTTATGAGGCATCCAAAAGGAATTGAGTTTTTTTTCCTGGAACTTACAGTAAGGAACTACTTAAATTAAAGCTAATCAGATGTCCTTTCTCTCTCTCTCTCTCTCTCACAGGTTGTAACTATACCAGATTACACAAGAACTATTCAGGGCACAAAAAAATTTTTTTTTTCATATCCATGGAGCTGCAGTGCACAATCTTTGGTAATTTTAAAAAAATTAAAAAATTAAAAAAAAAAAAAATTAAAAAAAATCATTTCTAGTTGCAGTACCTATTGTACAATCCACCAATACATTTAAGAAAAACATCAATTACATATTATCTCAATATCTTACCTGGGGACTCTTTGTACTGGAGTTATCAGCAAAGCATTCAGTTTTAACCCATTAACATCTGACAAAGATTCCTGTTTCTGAATAAAATCTGCAAATTCAGAGCTTTTTTGCAGCCACTCCTTAAAGAAAATGAAAATTAATACAAATTAGAATCTATGTGATTTTTAACTATAAAGTTTTATTTTTAAAAACAATTTTGTATAAATTTAATGTACTCAATTCTAAAACAGACAATTTTTACATTTCCTAAAGGCTCAACCAAAAATTAGCTTTTACTTTTCATTAGCCTCTGACAATATCATTAATTATAGTGAGATGCACAAGGTTAGTAAGTAACACCAAATTTCTAATTTTACAATATTTTATTTATACAAATTTCCTATGTTAAAATTTTATCAAAATTTTAGTTTCATTAATACTAAATAAAAATGTTATCAAAACTTTTTTTTAAATGTTAGTAATGTAACCTTTGCCAAATTTTAGTATATTGGATGCACTCAAAGTCATGTAAGATTCTAGGTAGAAGTGAGAGGCTACCATAAACCTCCAGGGAAAATGTATGAGAGTTGTACTTAAAATGTACCATAGAACTAAAAGACTCCCATCAGATTGGCAATCCAATTACAGTAAATAATCATAACATATCAGGTTTTATTGTTTATTCAGTAAAAATATTTTTAAAATTTTTCATGATCATTTATGACAAAGAAAATTTAGCTTTCTTCTTTTAACAAATTACTAGAATAACTTTTAAATAGTAAAAGTATCTTTATTATTTATTAAGGATATAAAGTACATTAATACATTAACATAATTATTAATAATATAATATGTATTACACTACTCAAAATTACTAACTGTGACAATTTCAAATGGTCAAAATTAGACTCACCTGCAGAGTGGTAAGTGCCTGACTGTGGTTATTAGCATACATTGAATATAGCTTAAGGAAAGGCCCAAGATAAAGGAATGCTTGGCCAATGGTTGTCTGTTCCATTTGTTCAAATAGTTTTATGTTTACTTGTTGGATCTGCTCAACATTACTGAACAATTTTGCATGAACAGATTCAGGGATGATGCAGGCATAACGCAATGGAAAATCAAAATGCTACAAATAATATTCAAAAAAATATATAAAACATAATACTATTAAAATCAATGAATACATAAAATTTAGTTATATGATTTGTATTAAAAAGAATTTTCAGATATACAAATTCTAATTCTTATCAATATGAGGAAATTCAAATAAAATAACAAAATCTTGATACACTTGTTTTTTCCTCATTTTTGTTTTTTTTGCTTTTGTTACAACGCAAGTTATCTGACAGAGAAGCTACATCGCAGAAGTGGATATTTTTTTTGCGACTTAAGATAAGTACCTTTGCTCATTTCCCTGGCCTGCACTGTCACAGATTTTTTTGTCTTGGTCAAGATTTTCTCAACAGAATGAAAAGTAGAAGTGACTAAATATTTCCCCAAAGAATAAGGTTTTAACAAAGTTCTTGAAAATTAATACTTAAATCCAACATGTAATTTCTAAAAAGCTGAAAATTTTCCCCTACTTAACTGTAGACAAGTTGCTAAGCTCCGACTAAATTAAAAGGTTATTAAAAATGTAAATGGAGAGCATTAATTTCAAACTAAAGCAAATTATATTAGAGAAAAAAAAAGAAAAAATAATTAAAAGTGAATAATAATTGATATACTGATAATGTTAGGTTATAAATTGGCCCATGTAATGAAAAATCTGAAAGTTTTTAAGTTCTTTCATAGCATGGTAAAAGTTTGAACACAAAGAAGTTTACTGTATTATATAGCATTTAAACTTTTTAATGATGATAAAATCAACTGCAAATTATATATAAAATATTTACAAAAGAACATGAAACATTTGGGCTGTAATTGATCAATCAAATTAAAGTCCCATATTTTATACTCAACTGCAAATTTGAGACATGTTTTTCAAAAGTGATTACATACTAACTAGTAATACAGGGTGTTACCAGAAAGGGCACTTTGATATGATGTAATGGTTAGCAAGCTTGTCTCACAAGATGAATTATGAATGAATAGTAAGTTTGATCCTTACTTGGTGGCCCATACTTTGGGCCTTATGCCACATCTAAGCAATGCTTAGAAAATCACTATATACTTTGAGAAATACCTACCACATAATGGTAAAGACGCCATTGCCACTAATGTGGGAGATATTTCTGCCACACCCAATATAAAAAGATTTTATAGGATTAAAATACAAAATTTAATTAAAGGGATAATTTTCAATGCAGATTAACAAACTATACTTTTTATACACTGAATTATTTGAACTTTAGTTTTCATATTGTTAGTTATAATCATAATATTGTGTTCTTTGTAGTCTCTAACAATCTTCAAGTAGCCCTTTGCATACTAGTGGCACTCCCACCTTGCTTGGGGTGAAATGCTTAAAAAACAAATATTTGGTAATGTTCTCAGAACATCAAACCAAGCCACATTCAATCCACAAGAGTAGTTTTCACTTTGCTGTCCCAACTAGGGGAGATAACTCGTATCTGTTAATTCTGCTTAATTTGTCCTTTTTACTTTTTCCTCTGAATCAGAGTATATATTGTATTTGCTTTTACATAAGACGCCCCCTACCCCTTTTACAAGGATATTTTGTGGAAGAGTTTTTTTAGTATGTTTCAATATATTTTAAAGCAGTTTTGTAGGGGAAAATGTTTGATTTTGTGCATGTAAATACAATATTGTAACAGTAGACTGGAATAAAGTATGAAATCATATATTGTAACTTTAACCTTCAAAGAAAACTAAATTAAATTTGCCAAAGCAGAAAAGAATACTGGTACATTTGTAGTACTGGTACATATAAACAAAATAACCTGATATAAATCAATCAGTAAAGTAACATAAATGTGAATTAATTCTTATAGATAATTCGAGTACATGCAGACAAATCAAAATATTTCACTTACTATTACAACAGTATACAACATTTCAGAAGTATACAACAAGCAACAGGGATAAAAATGAAGGTAAATACGGTAACTTTCACTACTTGACACAGGGACTGAAATCATAATTCCTCATTTATGCATTTTAGATATATTTTATTTAGTACATTATTAAAAATTTCAATTTCTTTCTTTTTTATATTAGTCATCTTGACTCACAATTATCAAAACTAGCAAACAAAATGAATGAAGTTTGTCATATTTCCTATTTGTATGAAGCAGTCTTTTCCATGTAGCAAAATTAAAATTCTCAGATTGTTCCTGTCGTCGCAGTTTCTTTACCTTTAATAAATTAGCATTTGCATGACCTCAATAAAAGAAATTCAATTTTCATTCTTTATTTATTCCCATATTCCCTTAGTTGCTAGTTTCCTCCCACCTACACAATATTTCTCTGTGTATGCATGCATGTCGGGGAGGGGGTACCTTCAGAAGATCTAAGTGGGAGAAAAAAAAAGTGAATTTCTACAATGTAAACCATGACTACTTTTTCTCTTTTTCATTATTCTTTTTCATGAACAACTGGAGAGAAGAGTTAGCTTCATTATCAATATAATAGGATCATATAACATTTCAATCATCCAATTAGGGCTCCAGACTAACTTTTTTCTCTATCATTTACTAGCAGCATGGCCCGGCGTTGCCCGTGCTTGATTCAAAAACATTACGACTTATACAGCATTTTTCTTGCATGAAAAAAAAAAAAAATGGTATGGAGTAAAAATCACTGGCTGAGGACTTCAATGCAGACCACATTTTCAGCTTTTTTGCGGGGTAAATAAAGGAACACACATCCTCGCCTTGCCATTCGAGAGCAGGCTTTGTAAAGTTGGCCGTCTGAAGCACTGCTCCTCTAAGTGTACACCAATGACAGACAGCGTTTGTCCTTGGGCCTTCAAACCATTCAAATGGCTCCTTCATTTTGGTTTAACTCCCAATGGCCTAGTCATAAATCCGGTCAGTTTAGCTAAAACCGACATGCGGTTCAGATGCAATCTGGGCGTGTCGGTTTTGGATTTTATCGATTTTCAACTGTTTAAGGGTCCGTGGTCATGAAACTTCTGGACAACACTTCTAATGGTAGATTCTTTAAGAGGGTGTCAAATTTGGTTGTAATGTCGATCATTCCTTCTGTAAAGCAGATTTTTTTAATTATCGATTTTTGAACCTGAGTCCAAACTCAAAAATTGGGCTCCAATCATATATTCTGGCAGCCATTTGCAAACTTATGGTGAAAACCGCCGAAATCAGGTGAGAAATGCGGCCTGGGGGAAATAACAAAGCCCACGACAGACACACAGACAGACAACATGAGAAATATAGATAGTAGATTTGTCAATTTTTTTATATTTCACTTAAGTCAACTTGAATAATTTTACACAGAAATGTTCTTATTAATTTTCATGCTCAGATAACTTGTATCATACTTTAAGAATTGTGCTCTGTGCAATCATTTTCTATTGGAAGAATATTAGTGCATTTCAACTATTCACAATCAAAAAAGATTTTAAAAACTTACCAAGAAATTTTCATTTGCAATTATATACTTCTCATCTTGACTAAATATTGCATGTTTATCATTTTTAATTTCTCCATTGCATTTTCAATTTAGTTTATGATAATCAGAAAACACAACATAAATTTTGATTGTTAAAAGTTAAACTCAAAATTTATTTTAACCAAAAATTAACACAAAAAAATATCTTGCAAAAGCAAAATTAGTTCTTAGAACCAAATGTTTTTCATATTTAGAGATAAAAATACAAATATCTAAATTTAAGTCCTTTGACTTTCATTTTTCATTCAGGTTTCATCCACACTTAAATTCTGTTTATTGTTCAAAATTGTTGTTTGTTTCTTTTTGCATCTAAGTAATTCCCCATTTATTAAAAGTCACTACTATTGGTGAGTATTTTTTTAAAATTTTAAGCAATTAGTTTTACAATTTTTAAACTTCTAATTAGTTTTAAAATTTAAACTAAATATACAATAATTTAACTGAAAAATTTGAATTATCCCAGCATTGTTTCAAAAAACCTAAACAGTCATCATAAACTAATGTTTGTTTGCCTGTAAGATGATGGGATGATGTTAATTTTTTTTTTTATCCAATTATGATGATAATCAACTTAATCAACTCAATCAACTTATATCAGTTCTAAGAATGCACATACATACACAGATTTGTTTTTGGTATTTTTGTGCTCACAAACTTCCAGAAAGAAAAAAATTTAACAAGATCCAACAAAAGCAAAAAATGTGTAAGTTCCCATATAATTACTCTTGGATTTTGTATCAGATCAAGATGGTTGAGGTAGGTCTTCTCAGTTTCAAAAATCTCATTTATGATTTTTCTTCGCCGTTTCTCTCTCTTGGCTTCTTGGATTGCTTTCTGTTTGGCAACATCTTCTTTTATTGGATTTTCAGACATTTCATCACGCGCAATTTCATTCAAGACTAGAAATCAAAAGAAAATTTTAAATTCTAAAAGTAAATATCAACTTTCAGCAATAAGAAATTTATTTTTTAAATTTGAAAAGTGTATAAGAAAATACCAAATGCCCAATTTTTTCATTTATCTTTGATATTTTGGCAAACATGGACAAACATGCCCACAATAAGACAGTGTTAAAAAGATGGATTATTTTTTTTTTAACTACTTTTGCTCTTCAGCAATGTTTGTTTTAAAGTGATGTTTAGAATTGTAATAAAAACTAGACATAATGAATTTGTACATTTTGTTCTTGAAAATTGACAACAAAAATAATCAACAATATTTATTTATTAGAATGTTTAGTTATACTATTTATTGGAACGAGTGGCAAAACATCGGCTAATTGCCAATTGATTCAAACTTTATAAAACAGTAAATAATAAGGATTTCCTTATAGTTGTTACTATATTTTAATGATTTAGTAAATATTTATAAATTTATGAATAAAAAATTTTCACATTTATTTGTTTATAAATTGGTAAATGATAAATATTGCATTGCATTAGATCTAACTGTATTAGTTTTACTTTTTAGAATGTTATATATATAAAATTATTCTTGTAAATAAACAATCTAATAAACAAATAGTGTTTAATATTAAACAATCTAAGAAGTAACTAGTAATAATATTAAACAATCTAAGAAGTAACTAGTAATAATATTAAACAATCTAAGAAGTAACTAGTAATAATATTAAACAAAAATGGAGATGATGAGACAAAACCTATAAAAATTTTTTGGTTTTGGCTTCTTCAGTTTCAATTTGACATGAAGAAGCCGAAACCAACAGGCATTAGCAAAACATGTCCATGTCTTCTATAGCTTTTCCACAGTCTCATCATATATATATATATATACAATACATACATACATACACACACAGGTAGTAATCCATTGGTATAATCCAGGCGGGTCCTATTAACACAACATAGAATTTGAAATATGTTAAAACTGACTCACCAATTGGAATTAAGATACCCCAATTTTAATGACCATGTTCACCTACAAATCAGTTTGAAAAAAAAAACCAAATTTTAAAATTAAAATTTGTGAAAAATAGTAATCATTTAACTAAAAACATCTTTTTCAATTAAAAAGTGTAAAAAGAGATGTATGTGATGTATATATATATATATATATATATATATATATATATATATATAATTATATTAATAAATTATAAATTGATAGGTTTCCTATAATTTAGGTACCTCCACGAAATCGCTAAAAAAGAGCATAGCTTGATGAAAAAAAGACGCCAACCTTGCGAAAACTAAATTTTATTGTCTAAATGCTTATGTTATTATTAAGAGGAAAGACCAAAGTTTTTTTTTTTATTATTTTTAAAAATTTTCCTTCTTTTTAGAACATTCTAAATTTTGATTAAAAAACCTTTTTTCTATTTGTATCAGTGGAACTAGTAAATAACATAGACAATTTTTAGCACGTTTTTTTTTATGACACACATTAATTTGAAAAATCGTGCAAAATATAAATAAATAATTATCGGATGTTAATGAAACTTTCAGGAACTATTCACAGATGATCAAATTATTATAAATAAATTTTTTTTTTTATGAAAGTCATGGTAGAAATATTTTTTTAAATATTTATTACCCCCACCCCAACTAATTTTATGAAAACGCTAGAAATTCGATCGAATCGGTTTTAGTGATTACAATAATTAAAAAGCACTGGGCTTTGAGGAATGCAAATCATTTTTTTTTTTTTTTAATTGGATCATCAGTACCTGAAAATCAGCTCTGAATTGTAACATACTCAATAAAACAAAGATATTATTTAATTTCAAATGCTTTTATTTGCTTTTACTTGTTTTTATGAATATGGACAATATTTTCTGAAAGCAAAAAAAATTTTCGATGAAAAATGAATTTTTAATACAATTATTTGTTATTTCTTTAATTATAATAGATTTTTACATTTAAGTTGTTAAAATATCATAAAATTAGTTAAAAAAGCCGCATCGGCTTTCATAAGTGTTCTTATGAGATAGATCTCTTTGTAGTGCGTTGTAAATTGTATCATTTTGACTAATCAGAAGATACCCAGTAATTAAGAAATGTAATTTTGTGCTTATAATCGAGCTGTAATTATAAAATACGGAAGACCAACCAGAATATAATTAAGTTTAATTATTTGAGTTAAGCATTTTTCTCCTCTGTTAAGGCCTTTACTTTTTTGCGAAACACGTGTGGAGAAGTTAATTTGATTTTTCAATTTCAACTGAGAAGGGTACCTACAAGTATCAGTATCATCTTATGAAATTTATATGATCTTATTTTTATATTAATCTCAGTTACGACATTTTTCCATAAATGAAATATCAAAATTAATAATAAAATGAATGCAAATACAAATAACAGTAGAATGTAATAAATGTACATAAAATTATAGTATTTTATGTACAATTCTGATAAAATTTCATAAGAAAGGTACCTATAAATTAATTAGATACCTTTCTTAAGAAATATGAAATTTAATGTCACTCTTAACAGTTTTATTTTAATTTCTTTACAATATATTTCTCATAAAGCATCATAAACGTAAAGGTGAAAGCTAAGTACAAAAAAAAAAAAAAAAAAATTAGACCACTGAAAGTTTTCCTTAAAAATAACGGGGTAAATAATTTGTTCACATAAATGTAAATTATTTCACTTTTCTCCTTCCATAGAACAAATTAGCCTCATGGAATTTAACGTAAATATATCATTCATCACATGTCAAGAGACGCGAAAGTTTATGACCTGCTTTGTTTTATTTTCAAATTACATCTTTTTTTTTTTTGGCACAAAAAGCTAAGTTAAAATTGGTTTTAAATAAACATTATAATTTCTGATTTTCTTAAAATAAGTTTTGAAAAATGATAATTGATATTTAAAAAATTTCAAAGTCAGATTTCCAGTTTTTTTTTTAAATGGAAAAAAAATGGTCAATTTTATCTGACTCAAAAAAACTAGATTTTTTTTACGAAAATTTCAGGCGTGCTAGGAACGATTAAAAAAATGGAAAAAAATACCCCAAAAATACTTTGACCTTTCCTCTTAATAATAACAAACATTTAGACGATAAAATTTTGTTTTCGTCAAGTTTGGCCTCTTTTTCATCATGCTATGCTCTTTTTTTAGCGATATCGTGGAGGTACCTATGCTAATTGATCAACCAATTTGTTATTTTAAAAAAAAGTACAATGGCTGGTCTCCTGCTAACAGAAAGCTTTGTCAGATATGGATGATCACAGATAGTAACACAAAATATAAACCAAATTGTGAAATAAGTAGTAAATTGATTAAATAAAGTTCATATCACACTATACCAAAAAGTTGAGTAATATCATCACTTTCTCGATGTTTGTGACCAAATTATATAAATAGATTTGGCCAAACAGACTAAAGGAGATAAAAATTGGAACATTTTCTTAAATCAAGCATTAACAGCTGTAAAATGTTCAAACAGCCACATTGTCACTTTACTACATGTTGTTCAACCAGCTAGATCCACAAAGAAAGTTTACAGAACATCACAAGTTAATAATCCAGCAAGAGGTCATCATAAAAGGTTTCTCTGAGACAAAATAAATAAATTTTATAGTGTCATGCCACCCATTTGTTATCATGTTTGCTCATCTTTTTATCATTCCTGTGGCTGCATGGAGCGACCTGCATACACGAAAGTGCCCCACTAACTTCCCACATGGAAAATACTGTTTCGCATTAGTGTAGCAGGAAGTTCCAGAACTGAGCTCCCTTGCTTCCTCCGCAATGTGTTGTGCTCCCCACAGACTTTAAACCCAAGTACATCGGCCCCATCCTTTATTTGCTAGACAGGCCGAAGGATTCTAATCTGCGCCTGACTTCATTCGTCAAAATTATGTCCTCATTTACATATATGTCGTCGAAGCTCTTCATCAGCTCATCCCGATCTAGCACTGTCTTAATGATTGATTTCATAATTAGGGGAGCCACATTAAGACCAAATCCCAAACGTGTGAAGCAGTACCTATTTCCTTTGACGATAACCGTATGCCAAGAATGTTTTGAAATAGATTCATAGCGATAGTTTTGTAAAAAAAGGTGTGTATGTATACATATATATTTGAACCATTTTTCAATTACTCATATTTTTGAATACAATCTAACTTCTTTTAGGAAATTTACAATCTTGGATGGTTTTATTTTTGTAAAAAGGTTTTTTAAATTACTCACTTGGTAATATTTTGTTCGGTATTGTTTTTGAGATGAGTTTCTTGAAGGCATATGATTGCTTGGCATAAGAAGCAATAATTCAGAGTGATTGACTCTTGCTCCTATGATATTCCATTGGATGATTTTATTGTCCATATAATTTTAATTTTTGGGGTCTATGTGTTTTTTTTTGAGATTTCTTAGTTTTTACCCTTGTGGGTAAAGGCTCCTCAACCTCCATTTTTCCCAACAGATTATGCCTATTTTTAAGCTCCACAGGAGCCGCTGGGTCTTTTGACTGGCCTGATGTTTTCTCTGTAGATGTATTCCTCTTTGGGAAGGTCTTTATCACCCTTTTTCCATTGTTCACCTTGCATATTGGTGGATGGAGGGGAGATCTTTGGTGTTTTGGTTTAGAGGTAGTCTTTGCAGGAGATCACAGTATGTTTTCATCTTTCGTTTCACCATCCGTTTCTGGCACCTGTGATTCCTCTTGAGCTCCATAAGTCTTTCTAAGGTGTTCTTGAAAATTTAGCCACTCATTTGTAGTCAAATGCTGTAATTTGTCTATCAGTTCACAGTATTTGCTTTCTTGAGATTTTTGTTCATTGATATTTGTTGTGTTACATAAGCATATGACTGTGCTCCCATATCAGAGTCGACAATCCTTCTAGCCTCTGGGAAGGACACATTTCTTTTGTATTTAATTTGCACTACCTCTTTTTCTTTCCTATAAACTTCACAGTCTCTAGAGAACGCAGAGTGGTTCTCATTACAATTGGTGCATCTCCTTTCTCCTTGGTATTCCTCTTCCGTATGGGCTGGGTTCTTTTCTGCACATTTGCCACAGACCTGTTGTCCTCGGCATATGTTTTTGTGGTGTCCATATCTCTGGCACTTAAAACACCGCAAGGGAGCTAGTACATAGAGTTCCACTCTTTTGACCATTTTAACTTCCCTTGTGATAGTGGGTGAGTTGAACATGAGTATATATGAGCTGGTCAATATAATCTCACTATTCCTCTTAATGTTAATTCTTTTGTAATCGATGACACCCTGCCTTTGCAGTGCCATTTTTATCTTTTCTTCTGTTGCTAAGCTCAATTCTTGACTTCTTATGACTCCCTTACAAGAGTTCAACCTCTCATGCAGGTAAGCCTTACATTTATACTTATGGAACTTTTCCATTTTTAGTAAATTTTCAGCATGTTTTTTCTCAGTTACTTCTACCAATAGGTTTCCATTTCTAATTTTTTTAACTGATTTCAGATTCGACCTGCTAGTTATTATCCTTTCAATAAGAAAGGGGGATAATTTACTTAGAGGTGTATCTTTTATTGATTCTATGACTATAAATTTTGAGAATTCGTTATTTTCTGTGTCAGAATCTGATTCTGAAAGGTTTGTTTTTGTTTTTAGAAAAGCCATATTTAAGGTTTAGTTATTCATTGGTTCTATGCTCCCTTACCCACCATGGAGTTCAACTTGAGTTGGGAATTAACCAAGGGGGGAAACCTATTCATCTTGGTTGAGACAAGGGATACACTACCAGTATACTCGAACTGGGAAGTAAATCTCTGAGCCCCTGTCAATTTCAGGTTTCAGTAACCAATACCAAGTACCATGTAACATATCAGTGGTCAAAATCTCACTCACTCAATACAATTGACCCTGAGCCACTGCTTTCTAGCCCCTATAAGAGGGTTGGGCATTTGCCATAAATGCAGATTGAATAATACGGTTGGGGCTAAATATATAGATGCTAGGGCTTGTCACAACCAGCCGATTGATCAAATCAAGCCTCTCCGACCGCCCGTCAGACCAAGTAAGGGCCAAAGTAGTGTGTTGCTAGTCATTGACCACTCTGTCACCAGATCAAGGACTGCTCAATCACCAGGATTCTGTCCTAGCGCCTTACGGGTCGCCACCCACAGTCAACAGCTCATTGGAGGGGGGGGGGGTCTTACCCTTCTACAGAGGTGCAGTCAGCGTATTCTAGAGCCCCAGCCAACGGGGCATGTTTATGTTTGGAGAGAAACTTTATAATAATTAGATGTATATTGGTATATATTCTATTTCCACAAGCATCTTTAGTTCAAGTGTGGCTAGGGTTCTGTAGTTGACAAGAGCTAATAGTAGGATACTCTTTCATTAAAAAGAGCAATTATACTCCACCCAACTATAAATTCTTAGACTAAAATCGAAAATGCTAAAAGTATTTTTGATGTTATTTAACAAACTAAGGCTGTACCTTTGTTATATATTTCTTTTGTTATGGGTCAAATAATATACACTTCATAAATTCATTATCTTTACATTAAAAGGCTCTTTATCTACAACCTGGTTACATTAAATAATACCATAGATGAACATGCCACCATACTAAATTCATAAGATTGTCTCAAGAATAACTGTGATATGAAAATAATTTTACATCATATTTTGTACAGATGAATAAAATGCTTAAGATTAATTTTTTTTAATGCTAAAAGTGCATGTAGCATTCAAATAAATCGTGAAAATATTTTATCAACATTCAAATTTGTTGTCATCTGTCCAGCAATTTTAAGCTGGACAAATAAGCAAATTGTACTAACAAGTAATTAAGAAAATAAGTCTTATTAAAAATAAAGTAAAAAATTCAATAACAAAAATTCCAATACAAACAGATGATTTGCTATTATTCTGTCAGATACACAAGTTTCTTAATGACAAGTGAAATAAAAAACAAGTTCAAAATGCAGCTGTAATGATTTGGTTGGTCAGTTCGAGAGATGGTTGCTTCTGTCTGGTGACTGCGTCCGCATATATACAACTTGCACGCTTGACATATTGGGATAATCTGCCACCTTGGAGCAAAGCGAGTTCGGCATGTGTGGTTATCCCAATATGTGTCAAGCGTTTTATATATCTGACGGGCGCCAGACAGACGCAAAAATCTCTCAAACTAAGCTTTGTGATCTTAAGATCAGTGGGGCGTGTAATGAGTTGGTCGGTCAACTTGACACCCCCAAAGTGAGTAGAGGTGGGCAGGCGTGGGAACTGTGATTGGTAGCTGGCTTGTTGGTGTTTTGCATAGGTGAGTTACCAAGCTCTATGTAAAGGACTGGAATGAGAAGGAGGGCAGTTTTTTTCAGTCTCAGAAGTGGAGACTGTGTCCGTCGCTACGACAGCAGGAGAGAAAGAGACGAAATCATTTATTTTTTCATGACACATTCCAACACAGCAGCAAGCAAGCAACCATCTTCCTTTTGGAATAACAATTCCTTTACAGTTGATAAGGACAAAATTGAAATTTATTCAGAGCTGGAAAAAATATTACTAAAGTTTGAAATGTCTTTGACTCAGAAATGACAAGAGGAATAATGATTGCTTGTATAAAAAAAAAGTTTGAATCAAATTAAAACACTTCAGTATTAGTTAGAACCATAATATCTGAAAGATATAAAAACAAAAGCAATTCCTTTTGATTCTGGAAGGAAATAATGATAAAAAATAGCAAACAAGTTAAAATGAATAAATCTCTTTTTTAAAAAAAATTTAAATATATTCCTGTCATAAAAAAAAAATTCTGGTAAATGTCAAATCTTGCTCAAGAGAAACATGTACTTATTGAAAAATAGAAGACATAAATAATCTGTTTTAAATAGTTTACTGTTTAGTAATTGGATAAAACAATATTTTTAATTAATGTGTATACATTAATAACATTGCATTTCTGTAATTTCACGAGTATATACATCACAAACTTGATTTTACTTGTAAAATTTCTTTTGTTATCCTTATCGATAGGTAGTACAATTATTTGCTTTAGTAAAATCAAGTTTGTGATGTATATACTCATGAAATTACAGAAATGCAATGTTATTTATGTATTCATTATTTTAAAATATTGTTTTATCCATTTACTAAACAGTAAACTATTTAAAATCAAGATTATTTATTCTCTATTTTCAATAAGTGACATGTTTCTTGAGCAAGATTTTTTTTACCAGAATTTTTATGACAGGAATATTTAAATTTTTTTTTTAAAAAAGCATGTGCGGGAAAGTTGAAATTCAAGACCAGTTTAAAATCACAAGAAAATTATCTGAAGAATTTCCATTTGAAAAACTTTAATAAACATTTAAAAAATAAACACAAAATGCAAAGTTCTTACCTTGTAGTCGGCTCCTTATTGACAGCATTATGCTAGTGGAAGGGTAATTTCCTAAAATATAAAAAAATATAAAAAGGGTTAAATGTCCATTATAATTAACTAAACAAGTACAAAAAGAAAATGTGCCTCTTTAACTAATAATTGCAGATTATCAATACAGACTTCAAATAGTTCTATAAAAAGTAATGGCTTCATAAACAACACTGAAATTCATAAATCTATTTTGATAACAATAAAAAAAATGTTCCATGCCTTACTTAAAGAAAGGAAGAACACAACCAGTTTTTTTAAATTAGTTTTACTACTTATTAGTCGATAGTACTATTTTTACTTTGGTTCAGGCAGAATTGATTTCACTTACATAGATCTGTTAAGAAATATTAGTTCTGCTTCAAAGCAGGTTACGATATAGATAATATTATACTCCAACAAATTTAAATTTAAAAGAAAAACAAAATATATCCACCACTCCAGAATTTATGACCCAATTTTTAAACAACTACATGACTGAATTGCACTTTATAAACTCTACCGCTGTTACATATCTGTCACAAATTACAGTCATTTACAATTTTCAAGCCACTAGTTATAGTTTCTTAGTACAGGGAATAAACTATGGCAATAGGGTGCTCCAAATTTTGGTTTTGAGTAAATCTTTCTTACAGGTTCCTCCATTATCCCACTTATTCCAAGAAGTTCATAGAAAGTATTTTGAAGTATTTAACTTTTATATATTTTTAACATTTCAAATATTTCAACAAATATTCAAAACCAACAAAATTTACAGATAATGAAATCATATAAATCAGTCATTACAAAAGTTTGAAAACTAGGAAACTTATAAATTAAATATTCTTGCAGACAACTATTTCTAGCATTTAGTTTTTAGACAGTAATTAATGAACTAAAATAATAAGCAACATCTGACCTTTAAAAATAATTATTTTAAATGTATTACATTTCTTTGAACTCTAATATATGGTACAGGTCTGTGCACAACAATTAGATTTTCTAATAATTGTGCAATCTTTTCAAGATTTATCAATTCTCATGGTTCAACAATCAACTGAGCAATCTATTGCAAAGCTTCAGCCCTATAGTGAATCACAACAGTTATTCTATCCAGTGTGATGACAGACTTACTGCTGAGCTCAGTTATCTTAATTTTAAATTTTCAACTGCAGGCTTCCCAGCCATCATCAAAAAAACAACAGGCTTCATAAAGATATTAAAACTGAGTAATTCCAAACCTAGATGCACACGAAGGTTTATGTAACATATGTACAACTGTAAAAGACAAAAAAATGTTAAAAATTTGTGAATTTAATGAGGTGAGTAGGTGTCCCAAATTCACAAAGCATTCAAAAGTCACATTTCCACAATATGGATATAAGCCTTTATTTAAATGAAAATAGTTTCAAATATTACAAAAGAAACTGTTTCATTTACTCAGGCAATGAAAAAAAAAGCATTCAAACTTACAAGTTGGCTTCCTCTCCTTTTAAAAAAAAGAATTTGTCATAAATCATCTTCATAACAAAAATTTGAAATGTTTTCTTCCAAAGGTAAAAATGTCTTCTTGAATTAGAAATAATTTTGAACGAAATCAAAACAAAAACCGGGTGCGATGGATAAATTGCCGTCTAAATTACACAAAAATGAAAACAATACTGACATCTCTCTTTAAAAGATATATTTACCAACATTACACAAAATATCCTGAAATACTAGAGTAAATTTATTCCATAAAATTGTCATGGCTTCAAACAAGGCCTTCAGATGACTTTAGAATCTCCTGCAGCTCTTCAGGATGGTCTCCTTGTTTAAATTGATGAATGCTGCCATAATTCTTGCCTTCAGTTCATCTTTGATGCTACAAGGAGTTTTGCTGATCTCTTGTTCAACTGTGCCTTGCACATAATAATCAAGGGAGTTTAGTCTGGGGAGTCAGGCAGCCAGATACAAGGGGTGATGTGGTCGCAGAAATTGTCGACAGCCATGACTGGGTTCTCCTGCTTGTGGCATGGTGTAGAGTCCTGTTGCCAGACATAGGGTCTTCTAGCAGCCACCCTCTTGACCCAGAGCAGCACTACCTGCTCAAGGCACTTGATATAGTCTTTTGTGTTGAGTCTGAGGCCCTCACCAACAAATTCAGATCTTTTCTTATCAGAACGATAAGCGTGAGTTTTCTGAATTGTCGTACCTTCGTAATCACCATTAGACTCATCCAACTCTTTCCAAATCCTTGGCACCATCCTTAGATTGACACCCAAACACTCTAAAATGTTGTATTGGAGCTTTGGGCACAAATGCCAAACAGTACAACATGCCGTTTCCAAATTTCTGGCAGAGTGAATTGTGTCATGGTGCTCCTATTATATTGTACAGTTGACAAAATCAAGGACAACCAATAGTAGTAGAGACAGCTACCTCTGCAGACCATCCTCAGTCCCACCTTTTAAGTCCAATGTGTGTCTCACAACTTTGCAAGAATATCTTGAGTATATTTTTTTTAATATTTTTCTTTTATCATTATTTTTTTCCTTCGCATATTTTTTGCTTTTTCCATGGATTTATTTTTTTTCATTTTACATTTTCTTCTATTTTGCCAGTCGACATTTTTCATTTCATTTAAACCATGAGAGGAAATGTTAATGTGCAATATAGAATTGGGATGTGGGGAGAGTGTAGTGGTTATCTTTGCAGATAGTTCTGAACTAATCTGTTGCATTCATTTATCTATCACACCCTATAGATTACCAACATTTATATCATATTAACTGAACCTGTAAAAGTTACAAAGCTAATCACAACTAAAATTATCTATTATCTTATGTTTTGCTCTTCTCTTATCCTTTATCTGTATCATCTCATTCTCTACCCTATCCTTGCCAATCTTTGTTGCTCATTGTTGTAGAGTAGTTTTCACAGTGGAGGCTTGTATTTCAATAAGTCGTCCTAAATTAGGTTCGACGTACAAAACGTTAGGAACTTGAAATAAGAGTTAATGACGCAGCAATCTAGTTGTGATGGTTGGTACTTCAATGTCCAATATCAACTGACTTGCTTAACACCACTCAGCCCAACTGGCCACTGCTACTACTACTTATTATCTGTGGGAGAGTCCATTACAATAGAATAGGTATTATGGTATAACACTCATCTAGGTTTTTACATAAATGTTATACAAACATGGATTAGTTACATATACAAGAACATGTACAAATATTTCTACTCTCCCCTCTTTCTTTTGTTCTATCTTTTCATAAAGAATTTTAAATAAGTTATATTTAGGCAACAAATATTCATCAAAAAATTTTTTATTAAATTCAACTGACTAGGTCTATCTGTTTAATTTTATATTGAATTTTTCCAATTTTCGAATAAAATGGTGTATATCAGGATTGAAATTGTAGGTAAACTGACAAATTCAAACTTTCAGCTCTGTAAAAAATGCTAGGATATAACCAATGGAATCTTACCTACCACACTGCTAATACATGATTCTTGATAATGACTGATATGGTCAAAAATACTTTAACAAAACAAACAAACTTTATCTATGATGTCAATCCCAATATACAACAAAATTCAATATTTCAACATGAGAATTTAAAATAAACTTGGGACTTTTATGAATAATTTACATGTTTCAAATTTCTTGGTCAAGCAAATTTTAACTTACACGAGTATTTGTTGAAAATAAGGACAAATTAATGAATTGTTATTTTTGTTTTCTTTGAATTTATTCTTCGACCTTATAATTATCAGCACTGTATGGTCTTTATCAATGTCATTTAGTCAACTGTTTTATTTAGGTACTTCCAAATAATTACTAAAAAAAGGGAGGCATCATGAAAAAATGATCAAAACAGAATAAAAGCAAAATTTTATCATCAGAATCTTTGTGTTGTTATTAAGAGGATGTAAAAACGAATTTTTCAATCCTTTTTAAAACCTTGGCAATTTTAGTTAAATCTTTTTTTTTGTGTGTGTCAATGTGGGACCATAAATTTGTATGAGAAATTTGAGTGTTGTTTTGCAGTTAAGACATTGATTTGGAAATGTTTGCATAAATCATATAATTGTCAGATTTTAATGAAATTTTCAGAACTTATTCAGAAATGAATTAAATTACTTTTGAGAGATTTCTTGTGTCTTTGTTAAAATATTTTTATATACATTTCTAACTACCCCCCACATACACTCATTTAATTTTATGAAATTGCAATAAATCTTTTTTTGTATCGCTTAATGTTTATATTTGATATAAGGACAAGTTCTCAAATATTGTTAGTCAAACAGGGTCTGCAGTTACAGAAAAATCTGCCCTGAATGATAAAATAAAAAAAATGAAATAAAACTAAGGCATGTTTAATTAGAAAAGCTTTTAATTGCTTTTATCAATAAAATATATTGTGGACATTACTGTCTTATGAAAAAATTTTTTCAATGAATAATGAATTTTTACAAGAATCGTTTCATTTTTTTTTTTTAAACTTTAATTAAAGTAATTTATAAAATTTTAAATCTTTTAAAATTATGTATTAATTTGTTGATATTATTAAATTAAAACTATATTTACTAATTATAAATGAAAAAGCTCACACCAAATCAACAACCATCAGTATTTTCAAAAGAATTTTGTATTTTTTGTGTAGCGTTGTAAATATAGATGCCCATATATGATATTATTAGATACTAAAAGAGATACCTATATTAAATTAAAAATTTATTGGTAAATTTCTAACATTTTCTCCATAAGTGTCTTTGTGCATAAGCCCATAAAGCCAAAGCAACTAAGGACATGCGATCATTGCTCTCCAGAATTTTCTATCACATGTGGCCCTTAAAGTTTTTCTCCCTCTAACCCCCTCATCAATCCGCCATCTATTCACACAAGCTCATCAGCTAAGAGGCTCACTGCCTTCCCCTATCTCTCTTGCCCTCAATATGCCCCATGAGGTTTAAGTTTTCCATGCTCTACTTCATCATTGTGTCTCCAAAGATTTTCTTTTCCTGGTTTTGAGCATAAGTGTTCTTTCTATTGTCATTTTCTTTAAGATTTCCTTGTTGCTTACTCACTCTGCCCATTGAATTTTCAGTATCTTGCTGCCTCTAGTTTTTTCCTCATCTGTGGAGAAATTGTCCAAAAATCACTGCCATACAAGTAGATGGATATCACATAGCAATCCAGCACTTTTTGGATTCTATCAAGATTTTTCCATCCCTCAGCACCTTGCTTAGCTTTTGGCATGCTGATTTTGTTAGCTTTTGTGTTGCATTTTCCATCCTCTGTTAAAACGCTTCACAGATATTTGTACTTTTGTACCTGCCTGATGTTTATATCTCTAATTCGTAATTTTGGATCTTGGACTTTTACTCTTGCTGATGACCATGCTTTGTCTTTTTGATAGAGTTGATCAGTTTGGCAATTTATGTTTCAGCATCAGTTTCAAGTTTTTTTTCCCTTAATACCGCAGTTTTCAATTCAGTTTTTAATCTAGTATTTTTGCTTTCTAAGGAAGCCATTCATTTTCTTGTGTAATGATAGCATTTGCAACTTAGTTCATTCAACTCACAATTTCTGATCCAATCTTAAAAATATTCATATGGCTGGAAAGAAAATAAAATAATCTTTCTAAATAAGTAATTTATGTGAGCTTTTATTCAGTAAATTATTTTTTTACAGCAAGTTAAAACAGTATTTTGATTTGAACAGCCAAAACTGCAAAATATGATTTTTTTTTAGACTAAATTTTACATGTTACTTTGTTTTGCAAAATCAAAGTAACCAATCTTTATCAATATTCTTGAAATTGTACACTCAATTAGAAGACACCTTAAACTACAACCAGGAAGATGTTCATTTCCTCTCTGACCTGTGGAAGCAAATTCCTTCAAAAAGAAAAAAGAGCAACTGATAGTAATAAATGTGTGGTAAATTCAAATTATTGAAACTACTGTCTGACACTGACAGATACTTGTTATCAAGTGATTATTTAGAGGCAAAGAATTTTCCCATTTATATCCAGAAATGCTGATAATAATTTGCTTTTAAAAAGCCAAAAAATGAAACCCCTCATGTTTAAAATAATTAAAAATATGGCAATTATTTTCTGGTATACCAGTCAACTGTTATTGGGGTTTTGCAAATAAATTTCTTAAAAACAAGGAAAATCAATGAGTTATTTTTCCCCCTAAATAAATTTGTTTTTAAATACACCTAAATTTAAATATTAACAATAATTAAAAGCTTTTAATTTCATTTTTAGAATGTGTATAATTTCCAAATCTGCAAGTATCACCTGTTCTTTTTTAGATACCCATTTTAAAACTAAAATTAAAAACTATTTTAATATACAATCTTATGTGTATTCGCTATATAAAACCATAAAGATATGTGTAAAAAATAAAATGAATTAATTTTCCTTGTTTAGAAGAATTTTATCAGCAGAACAGTAACAAACACCCACCGAACACTAGTGGCTAAAAAAAAAATTTTTACTTTAGGTCTTAAGAAAATGATGTGCAGTTTTAAAAATATACACATTTTAAAACTGAGATTAAAACTTACTTTATTTTTTTTAATATCTAATTTTAGGTGTATTTGCTAGATAGAAACAATTTTATTTGTAGAAAACAATTTTACACTAGAGACTCGTATATCTGGAAATATAAAAGTGAAATTAAGAACTATTTTAATTATTCTTAATATCTAATTTCGGTGCATTCCCTAGATAAAAAACAAATTTATTTATTAAAAAAAAAACTTCATTCACTTTTCTTGTTTACAAGTTTATTTCATGATTAGCTTCTTACTAGAAAACAATTAATTATCATTAAAAAATCTGACTTCATCTTAAGACAAAACTGGCAACTATTTTTACTCACTATTTTGTTGTTAACTTAATCTTACCACAAAAAGGTTTTTTGAAAACTGAAACAAATAGATTTCAGATATCATGTCATATTTTCCTTTTTTTTTCTGTTTGAAGACATTATGATTTCCAAGTGTCATATCTGTAGTATTCCCTTTTTTTTCTTCATTTCTTTTGTAAAATAAATTTCACATTTGTTTCCTAAAACTTGTCAATTAAATGTTTTTAACGTTTTTATTCACTCTCTTTCTCTTACAATGGTACTATGTTGATAAAATTTAATTTTATTAACATCTGAAAGTCTTTTTCAATAGTGTTTCTTTGATAGCACTAAAAACTGAATGATTTCAGTTTCACTGTTTGAAGATGAAACAGAAAAAAGTCGGGGTTTTTTTCAGTTAAACTGACCATCTCTACTTTTTGCAGTTGATGGTTAGCCCTTTTTTCTTACTTTCTTCTACCACCCTGTATAGAAGGTCCTGTAGTTTCCTTTTCTAGTAAGCCATCAACACAGTGTCATCATGTGTATCCTATATTGTTGAGATTATACCCACTGATAATAAATCTTGGTAGGGTCTCTAAGTTCCCTTAGGATATCATTGTTGTAGAGGGTAAATAAATCTGGGAAGAAGATACATCCTTGTCCCATGCCCCTTTATATTTTGTTATAGCTACTCAATTTATTTTCTATCTGTATGCAGGCAGTTTGCACCCAGTGCAAGTTCATTCTTTTCCAAATAAATTTAGTTTTTCCAGCAGTCCAAATAGATCTTTGTGCCATACCTTGTCAGATATATATTATATGCACAGTACAGTGAAAAGTGCTCAATATCAGACAAACTCCAACTCAATTTGTCTGATGATCGCAAAAATGTGAAACTTAGGGTACAAACTCATACCCAAACAACTGAATGAACATATATATATATATATATATATATATATATATATATATATATATATATATATATATATATATATATATTTGTTATGTAATTTTATAACAATTATCTCCTTAAATAAATTTCTCAAACATTAGGCAGCTAAATGTATCAACACTTCATAAAAACATCCACTTCCTCCATGTTAAATGCTTTTCTGCAATATTTTAAAATTTAAAATAACAGTAATATGTTTCAGTTCAGATTAATTAAACTTTAAATCAGCCAATTTTTCTCCACTTTCAGAAAAGTATATTTTATTTTTGAAACATTTTTTTTTTAATAAAGATGTTGTGTTGACAGATTTGTCAATAGAGTAGACGATTTTATTTTTATAATTTTTATTACAATCATAGAAAAAAATCATTCCAGTCAACTTAAATTCGTTTTGAAATACAAAGTTTTGCTTATTGGAAATATTAAAATTTGCGTGGAATTAAAACTAAAATAAAAATTTCAAGAAAGATTTTACTTCTTTTTTTTAAATGAATATTTTTTCTAAGCATTTATCGCTTTTTGGCTGTCTATACCTAAAAACTCATACGCATTACACCTAAACACCAAAAATACCTAATTCAATTTTTTTTTATATAAAACCGTAAAAACGGTTCTTAATTTGCCTATTTTCAACTTTTTGGGGTTTCTTTTTTGTTTTTTTTTATGACATATCGCATCGCAAACTTTTTTTGTAAGGTTAAAAAATGTTCTACCTAATTTTGTTAATTATGCAATAAAAAATCAAAAAATTACATCTACACATCATCATCATATTACTTTTTTAAGTAGAGGGAGTAAATGTTTTTACTTACGAAATAAAATCAAACAAAAATTTAAATTTACAATTATTCAAATAAATTTAGCTTAAATTAGAAATAAAGTTTTTAAACTGTTTTTTTTTCATTCAGCATTATCTTTCCTTTCTACATTTTTTAATTAACACAGTTCAAATTCGGCAAGAACAGAAAGTAAATTTTTCAAAAACACTAAAAAAAAGTCATGTTTGAAACAACTATATTAGTTTATTTTCTTGCTATTAAAACCAAAATTTAAATTATAAATAATTGCAATACATTTTCTTTTAAATTTGTATTTAAGAAGTCCATGATCATACCTAATTTTTTTTGAAAATCATTTTATTAATTCATATGGGCGGATACAGCAACTGCGACAAAAAAAAAAAATTTGATTCAATTTTTACTTAAGACATAAAAATTTCTTGATAATAGTTACCAGGAGATTTTAAGAACACATACAAATAGACACAAATGCCTTTTATTAGATTTACAAAATATGCAAACATCTGTTTGTACTTACCGAGAGAATGTACATACAAAATCAGAGATTTGAATTTGGTACCAAGTAAGCTCCGAACGGAAGGCAATGCTTGATTCTGATTGGTTAAAATAAAAATACATGTCATTGAATAGTTTAACATCTTTCTTTAGGACTTAAAAATTCGCTGACATTGATAACGTAATTAATTTAGACTACTACTTTAATATCATAAGTGTGAATATTTCCTCTTATTTAAACACTTGAAAACTTCGTATTTTAAATATTTTCTTATATCCGAATTGTAATTTCTAGTAGTGAAGACGGTATTTTGCTTGGAAAAAAAAAATTTTTATCCTGCCTCCAACAAGCCATTTTTTTATTTTATTTATTTATTTTTACATTTTTTTGTAAGTCGGGCGGGTATGTACATTTTTTTATACCAGAGTATCCTCGACGTCGGGAAATATGATTGAGATTTTCATTGTCATTGAAAACTAAAAGTAATGAAAACTATTGATGTGTCGTTGTTCCTACAAAAACGCATTTTAAATAATTAAAAAATGCCTTCGTTGAACTTAGTTTCGCTTTTATTTAAAAGCTAAACCGAATTAAAATAAAAATTAATTTCTGTATATAGATAAAATAATGTTTTTAGGCATTTTAAACATCGGTACGTTCTCTCATTACTCATCGAACCGACAAATAAATTGTAAAAAAAACAATTAAAAATCTTATATTTGTCCTAAAAATATGTTTCAAAAAGTAATTTAAGGATTAAAAACTGGATTTTGTCAAATTAATGTTTACTTTTTAATAAAAATTTAATGAAAATAACGTTTATTTACGCGGGGTCAGGGGTTAAAAACAAACTTACTTTTGCAGTACACACTGAAGAAAAGCATACGAAGAATTAAAAATAAAAATGAAACAAATAAGGTAAGGAACACCAACAGTGCAGTAATCAATACATTGGTATTTATGTCTAATAATAAATTATCTTCATTTAACCAATAGTTTAAAATTTTAAGAATATTTTTTTTTACTCTATGACACGTTTTTTTTATAAAACTTAATGAATTTTTATTTTTTATGCTACATTTCGTAGTTTCTTTTTGGTTTTGTTGTTTTTTTAGTTTTAATAAATGATACTCTTAGTCTTCCAGTCTTCAATACATTGCTTTTTATTTTTTATTTTCATACCTGTTTGAGATAAGAAAACATTGCATGCAATTGTTTTTGTGTTTTTTTTATTCTGAAACAGTTATTGAAGTATTCCTCTTCCGATAGGGAATCGTAGCCAAATAATTCAGAATTATATTTCCTTTTTTGAATATCCATACCTAAAAGAATCTATCCGTTGCTAAAAAAAAAAAAAACATTCAATAATTTTTTAAAAAAATTCACTCGAAAATGGTATTTAAACTTTACATTTTTCGAGTCTTGAAACATAACTTTATTTAATAAAGAATTTTTTTATGAACAGTAATGGGTTGAATTTCACAATCACATTGAAAAAAAAATATTACGTTTTAAACTAGATTTCTTTTACTAAATTTATATAAAAAAATATTAATATATGTTGCGATGTTTTATTAAATTATGCAAAAATTGATCTTCCGAAAAAAATTTTTTTATACAGTTTGGTAAGATTCAGGAAAATTTTTCTTTCTATTGAATAAAATTTTTTTTTTTCCAACAATAACAACTTCAGGAAAAAATTTTTAATAACTAAAAAGTTAAAATTCACCTCCCCCAATTAATAAGTGCACAAAATATTGAAAAGGATTGGTTTTACTTAACTGGAATATTTCCGCAAAGATTTCTAATATAAAATAACATATTCAGTATGCAATTAATTCATTAATGAATAAGTACTGAAAATTTTTTTTTGTTGTTTAAAATTACAATTCCCTGATTTTTTTTTTCAACTATTTTTAAATAGGGTTAAGAATTTTTTTTTTTGATTAAAACTATTTTTGTTTTTCAAAAAAATAGAGTAAATATTTAGTGTATAAAATTTAAGATTTACATGCAAAAACAAAAAAAAAAATAAAAAAAACTTGAAAAATTTTATTTTACAATTTTTCTCAAAATATCGTTAGAGAATAGTACAGTTTGTAGAAAAAATTTTGGTCAATTTTTTTTTTAAAAAAAATAAAATTCGTTTCAAAATCCAAAAAATCATTGTTGGTAAAAATTGTATAAATTTTTAAACAATCTGCCCATGACTCAACTATAATTTATGCACATGTCAAAGGCTATGAAATGTGTCAGATGACATTCTGGCTAGAGGTGTTAATAATTAGAGCCAATTCATCAGAGCTTTACAGCCTTCTATTTTTTATTTCTGGTATTCTTAGTAAATTTTTAGAAAATAAAAGATAAAAATATACAATTAAAAATCAACTATCAAGGTAAAATGTAATTTGTGGAATACCTTTAAGAGGGAATCTCTTGATTTTGTCAGAAGACAGAATACAGTGGCAACTCTTATTTTTGAGGGGTGGATGGGTATTACTAACATCTAAATTTGATTTCGGGGTCATCACCATCATTTCATAACATTGATAGAATTTTAATACAATTGTACATATTGATATTTTAAATTATGGGATGTTTTTTCATAGGGGGGGTTAAAAAAAAATTTTTGTATATTTAGCATATAATCGTAACATAGGTTCTAGAGTGGGTTATCAGATATAGTGAAAAAATATTCATGTTAAAAACAGATTAGTTTGATTTGGCCTTTGTTAGATAGCCCCACCATAAAAGAGGTATAAAATCAGATTAATTTGATTTGGCCTTGTTAGATAAAGATTTCATAAAGAGGTATAAAACAAGAAAATCAAATTGTAAAATGAAAATAACAAATTTATATATTTTATAAATTAATTAAATCTCTACAAATAAAATTAATGTATTTTTTTTGTTGATACAAGGTCATCAAAATGTTAATTTGTAGTCCTTGCAAGAATTTTAATTATGTGTACATATTTCAGGAACATATGTGTGTATGTATGTATCTATTTTCATTGTCATAGGGTAGGAATGTCTTTGAAATAATCATTCAGTCTTAAAATTTCCGTTCGTTTATCAAGTATTCAAAGTATAATGGTTTAAAATAATAATTTGATCGTTTGTCAAGGGATGTTTTAAAATAATTCCTTCTCTCTGGTGACAAAAATTAAATTGCCCGTCTTTTATTTCGTTTCTGTTGTTTGTGGGGCTTTGAAAATATCATTAAAAATTCTTTCCCAAATATTTTTTCCGGCTTTTCCATTGATTGACAAAAATTTATGTTGGCTCCAAAAAAGGTCCATAAAAAATTTGTTTCTGAGAATTGAAGAAATTTTCATTTGAATTTTGTTTTTTTTCCTAGAATTTTCTAATGGCCAATCATTTTGCATCAAGCCCAAACAGTGAAATTTCAGAAAGTTTTTTTTTTTATTAAAAACAATTGTATGTTGAACAGCAAAGTTTGTAAATTCTTTTTCTTTTTTTTCTAACAAAACAATGAGTCAGTGAATAGCATTTGAATTTTAAATCTAGATCTTGTTTTGTTCACTACAATTCTTATGGTGAATGAGTAAATTGTAATGAATGAATGAGTCATTAATCTGATTAGCTTGGTATTTGTTTGATTAATATATCTTAAAAATATCTTTTTTCTGAATATGTGTCATGATTACTGTATTCAATCAGTATCAAATTGTAGATAGTTATACCAGTTTTGACATTCTGAGACTGTCTACTTTCAGACTAGATATTGTATGTATTATTTGGAAAAAAATGAACATAATACATAATAATTTAAAAATGAAAATCAAAAATGAAAGGCACTAGAATTAATATGAAATCTTTTCAACCTAATGGAAAAAATGGGAAAAAAAAATAAAAAAAATCCTATACCTATAAAAAAAAAACTAATTGAATTTTTGGAAAATTAAACTAAAAAAAGGGAATAAAAATAAAAATAAAAAATAATCTAGATAAGGTATATTAAAATTTATAAATGACTTAATATATATATATATATATATAACCTAATATTTTTTTTTTTTTTTTTTTCACCCCAAGCAAGGCAGGGAAGCCACTAGGACGCAAGGGGTTTACAGAAAATTTGGAGCAAGATCAGATAGGAGTGATAGAGGAAAGGATGAGGAGAAGGATAGTGGATAGATCAAGGCAACTGGAGATGTCGATTGACATTACATTTGAATAGTTGGAGATTATAGCTCTCAGGGAAACTGGAATAAAAGGGAGTTCCACAGGCGAGAGGTGCAAGATATGAAGCTATTGGAGTAGAAGAGACGGCTACATTTAATAGTTTCAACAGTGAAAGGGTGAGAGAGGGATGCCAGCCTCGTAGGGCGCTTGAATTCATGAAGTCTGGGAACCAGCGAATGCAGCTCATCGGAGCAATTACCATGAAAGTATTTGTAAAAAAGACAGAGAGAGAGGCGACGGCGCGTCTGTGAGAGAGTGACTGTAGACGAGATGCCAGATCAGGGCCAATTATATTGCATATCCGTCTCTGAATCTTATCAAGAACCCCGAGGCAAACAGAAGGGGCTCCAGACCATATATGGCAGCAATACTCCATGCAAGGGCGAATTGTTGATTTGTAGATCTTGAAGGATCGATTCCGGGGAGAAAAAAATTTCCTGGCGCGGCACAGGGAGCCAACTTTCCTTGCGGTGGACGAAGCAATTGACTCAATGTATTTGTTCCATCTCAGGTCAGCAGTCAACGTGAGACCGAGCAGCCGCAGAGGTGCTGCTCTCGAGAAGTTGAGCGTCAGACATTCTAATGGGGGGCAGGGAAGGATCTCTGTGGTGATTAATAAAGAGCAGTTTTGTTTTTGAGGCATTAAAGTTGACCAGCCAATTCCTGCCCCAGTTCACAACCAATTGGAGGTCCTTTTCAAGACACACGGCCAGGTTAGTTTTGTCAGTGACACTAGATTTGATTTTGAGGCAGGAGTACATTGTAGTGTCATCCGCGTAGATGCCAACTATGGCATCAGGAAGGTCATTTTTTTAAGATAAGGAATAGAGTAGGGCCCAGGATGGAGCCTTGAGGAACACCTGCGTTCGTGGGATAGGAACTGGAGGAGAATCCATTGAGAATGACCTTCAATTCACA